CAGGGGCCCGCCCAACCGCCCACCCGCCGTCCGCCCAAGCGCCTGGATCACCGCAGCGTGTCGAATCACGTGGGCGTTGGTCAGCAACCACTGGCCTGCAGGTCCCGGAGTCTGGAGGCTGCCAAGGCCGATTCCAACGGTTGGACGTGAAGGACGTTGGGACTCCCTGGTGCTGAAAGTAAAAAGAAAGGCGGTTCACCTAACATCATCTAACAGTTTCCACTGTAACATTTACTGTAACCGTTCCCTTTTTGGGGAGGGTTCCGTGGAAAATCACATGTCAATCCAACAAAAAGGTAAAGGTTTCTCGACATCTGACTGGGCAGGACCATGGTGCTGCAGTGGATCATGCCTTGCGGCGATGACAAAACATGTGTGGCCGGGCTATCAAAAACACAATAAATATATGTCAAAAAGAACATTTCTATATCCTGTCAAAAAGAAAATTACTTGGTATCAAAAACAAAACTTCCTTCCACAAAGAGCTGCGCCTGCCACTGCGAACCGCCTTGGCAGCGCTGCGCGATGTGAATCTGGGTGTGCAGATTTCGTGGCACACGCAGCACTTTGAGCATCTTCAGTAGCAGGTTTCGTAGCAGGCGCAACACTTTGTGCACTGGAAGTGCAGATTCCGTGGCAAGCACAGCACTTTGAGCACCTCCACTAGCAGGTTTCATGGCAGGAACGGCACTTTGCGCACTGGAACTGCAAGGCTCGTGGCAGGCGCAACACTTTGTGCACTGGCACTGCAGGTTTCATGGCAGGCGCAGCACTTCGTGAACCTCGAAGTGCAGATTGCGTGGCAGGCACGGCGCTGGGTGAACCTCTGTCTATAAGCGCAGACTTCGTGGTAGGCGCAGCGATTGCGAACCTCGAAGTGCAGATTGCGTGGCGTGCGCAAAATTTATGTGGCTCTCAAGACCTGTGAAAAGAGCTCTTGATATCCCTGGATCTGAACATCTTTCTACACCCTTTGCAAGTCTAGACACCTAGAACTTAGATTTCAAGACTTGCCTGGATCTCAAGACTCAAGACCTCTAAGCCTCCATCTTTAGATCTGTGGTTTCTAGACCTCTACACCTGCAGAGTCTGGATCTCCAGGCCTTTGGACCTTTGTAGATCAAAACCTCTCTGCATCTCAACCGTGATCTCTCTGAATTTCAGACCTCGAGGTTTCTGTAATGGATCTCAACCACAAGACCTGTGGATGGCTCACAAAAGGTCTGCTAAAGTTTTGCCCCCGCATGGCTCACAAAAGGTCTACTGCTCCTCTAAATTTTGCTCACAAAAGGTCTGCTGCCTTGGCGTGGCACCTTAAGTTTATCCCCGGCTCACAAAAGGCCTGCTACGTTGGAATAGCAAATTCTACCCTCGGTTTGCTCACAAAACAAAGGCCTGCTACGTTGGAATGGCAACTTCTTCCTCTAAATTTTAACATCGCAAGGCTAACAAAAGGTCTGCAACGTTGGAATGGCTCCTTCTTCTTCTAAATTTTGCCCTCAGGTGGCTGACAAAAGGTTTGCTACCTTGGAATGGCACCTTCTTCGTCTAAATTTTACCGTCAGGGTGGCTCACAAAAAGGGTCTGCTACGTCTGGTGATAAAAGGTCTGCTGCAGTGCTTCACAGGATGTATGACCAGATTTCCAACTCACCTTGAAGCCGTCTTGCCTCGAAAGTACAGACCCAAGGACCCGAAGACCAGGACGAAGGACCAAAGGACCAAAGGACCAAGGGACCAAAAGAACAAGGGACCAAAGGACCAAGGCACCAGGGAACCAAGGGACCAGGACAAAGGCCCCAAAGGACCAAAGGACCAAGCGACCAGGGAACCAGCAAACCAGGACGGAATTTTATTTTTGATACGAATTGATGTTTTTAGATAGGAATCAGTTTTGTTTATTGATAGGAATCAATTTTCTTTTTGATAGGTATCCCAACATTTGTCTGGATTCCAGTGGTGAAGATTCTTCGTCAGTGTCCATTGGGTCACTTGATGCATTTTGAAAGTCTAAAGGGTCAAACTGGACTTGGTCTCCCGGATCCTATTGCAACATGCTAAGGCAGCAGCCCACTTGCAATCTCAGTGGCTTTCTTTCTCCCAGGTTACAGCGAAGGCAGTTCCAGTTCCTGGGCGATGTGAACAGTGGCAGGCAATTGCTGCCCGTTCTATTGATCAACTCTGGGTGATGTGCCATTTGCATGAGTTGATTGTTTGACCCCTGTCATGTGGGCTGCAAGAATCGCGCGGTGTGCAAACCACATGCAGCGTGCGGGTGTGGTTGGCGCAAACAGCCATCGTGGTGTACCGATCGTCGTGATTGTTTTCGTGAATTGCCCCCATGCCAAACATCCTCTGACAGAAGCAAACATGAAATATTGAAATACACCTCCACCTCCAAACCAAAATGCATCCACCCGATCTGACCCAGCGGTTTGTGGAAAAAAACAGGCCCATCTAAGCAACAAAAAAACAACTCAAGGACCTCAAGTAAGCACAACTCAGCCACTGGTGCATCGCATGCAAAGGTTTCGCCCCCTGTTCGGGGTATCTACTCAATCTACTCATATCCCCCCCAACATGGTGCTTGAGGGTGCCCAATCACCACCCCAAACCAGCGGTTCCGACGGCATGCTTTCTGCCTTCTCTTCTGGGCTTCTCTTCTGGGTCCTGATAGGTCCTCTTCTCTACGGCACACCGCCACACCGCCACCTCCGCGCAGCGGAGCCGCTCCGGTCACCGGGTCGCGCCGGGTCACGGGCGTCTTGCGGCTTGTAGACCCAGGGCACCGCGTAGTTGGGCTCGGACACTGCGGCGAAGACCTTCCTCGGTCGCGACCGGTAGGGGCGAACCGTGGCCGTGTGGCCGTGGGTCGAAGCCGTTCACATGGCACCAGTGGACCTTGGTCAAGCGAGTTGGATCAGGGCGAGTTGGGTTTGGGGATCCATCCCCAACTCTCCATGTGATGCACCTTTTTGGAACATGTGGCACATTAATTATGGCTGATCACGCTGGATGTGGTCCTCAATTTCATAGTTGATTTGCTGGGGTTGTTCGGATGAATGACGAGAAATACTCTTAGGACTCTTTAAGCATCTTCAAACATATACAATAAACGGCTGGGAGCCTCCCCAGAATTCCCGCACTACCAAACACATCCCAAGTCCCAGTCATGTTTAGTCCACCAAAACATGGGGCTGCTGTGCTCAGTGGCCTTTTCTCCCATCTGCCCCTCCCAGCCGCATCGACGAGCTGCACCACGGCATCGGTGAGATCCTCCTCGCCCTGGAGACGACCGGACGCCAGCGGTTGGACTGAAAAAAGGCGAAGAAGTTCAAGGTATGACACAGGGTCCGAACTGGTCGTTCACTCCGGGATTTTTACGATGGATTCAGAGCGATTTCAGATCCACCACCATCCAACAGCTTGTCTCGATGGAAAATAGAGAGTCATGGGGGTCTATAAACCACCCTTTTGGGTTGTGGTAGATCGATGTAGTATGATTCTGTAGTAGACGAGGGCCCTCAAGCAGGGACCTGTTGGATGATCCCTCTGACCTACATTCATTCTGCCGCCTCCAAACAGCAAACGCAATGGCCTCCACCCTAGAAGCGATGGCCTCCAACCCAATAGCAAAAGGCTAGCGGATTACCAATCATGTGCCAGCCCCGTCCAATCAACTAGGCCCTTAATAAGGTGACCTGGATCTCGGCAGAATCGGGGGACCACACGAAAACAAATAGAAATCGATAGGACCCAATAGCTTAGCAATTAAAACTATTAATATATATATATATATATTGTATATATGTTTCCATTCACATTTGTTCACCAGTCGTGTCTTCCTATGGGTTATAGAGTGCCATCAGTGCCATCCCTTTACCAAACAGCTCCAGGAGGGGTCTCCCTATTCAGTGCTGCGCGAGTCCAGCCTCAGGGCGCCTCTTCTTGGCAGGGCGCTTCATCGCGGCACCATGAGAACCGCACGTCGTGGGCTCGTGGCGGCTCGTGGGGTTTCCAAGGGCCAGATCGTGCTGAGTCTGTCGGGAGACCGGTTTGAATGGACCATTTTCTCAACACCCAGAGTTTTGGCTTTCTCATGCTTTCTCCACAATCTTGACATCCCTTTTCATTGGGTGCATGGCTTAACCTTGAAGCAAAGCTTGCGATTTTAGCAAGATACAGTATCTGCTGAGGACAGGTCCCCGTGGTCGTTTTGGGTTTTGGCATTGCTCCAGAGCATCATGAATCCTTGCATCTCTAGAGGATCGCACCCCCACATCCCACTTCAACATGGTGCCAAAAGAGGGTGGTCCCTCTTTGTTCCAAGTGTGACGAGGTCTTGCCTCTTTTTCAAAATCACCAGCACGCGCCATGTTTAACCCAAAAAGACTTGGATTGTCTGTCCAGGAATTGGTCAAAAAATCATCTATATAACACATATTCTCCAGATTGACCCATACGGCATAAAAATCAACCGAAAACCACAAAACCGGCAACAACATCTTCATGGATTGAAACTGCACGAGAGAGCAGGAATGGCGCGATCTCTTTCCTTTTTTTCTTTCTTTTCCAGGAGTCAAAAGGGGGTGGTGTTTAGTCCCCTAAAGTGACTGGATGTTCTGGACACCCCCAATCTCCATGGATCGCACCCCGTTCTTTTCTTTGTTTCTCTCCCTTCTCCGACGCAAGGGTTCTCCAAAGTGGCCATCACTTCGCCGTGTAGCGGTCCGTGTATATTTTTCACAAATGCATAATATGCATTAATATGCATGTATATCTGCATGATGCAGGTATTGTCATACAGACTTGGTATAACTGCTTGAACTGGACAGAATTGGTTACATGGGCTCCATCTTTGAGGCTGTTTGCACTTTTGTGCCTAAAATCCACCAAAAAGGTCAGCTGCCTTGCGGTTCACGCACCAAAAGAATTGGGACGGCACCTGATCCATGCAGATTCGACACCTGATTCCTGTCTTAGCCATCCGAGAGCCCGGGCGGGGTTGATCCGAGTGTTTTCCCAGGACACTCGTTCTTGCCACCTGCGCGCGTCTCTTGAACGGCCGAAAGGGTGGACGGTGAAGCCGCTCGGTTTTTGGAAGACATATTGACAACATGGGAAAACTGACCAGCTGACTGTAAAGGCTCTGGAAGGCTCTGGAACACTGCTCAGAAGGCTCTGGAAGAATCACTTCCATAGCCTATAGCCAAAAAGCATCAAAAGCATCAAAAAAACGGTGAGTTTGGGTCATCGAATCAGGTTGAAACATCAAGCACAACAAGAAAAGCTGAAGCCGACTTTCCGAAGACCCAAGGATACCCAAGGCTCCTGGGCAAACATTGACCAAAGAGAAGTTTGTTGATGCAGCCGACACATTGCAACAGTCGGTCAAGAAGCCATGATGTTTAGAGATGTTGGCCTGCAACCAGACCCCATCATCCACTGGGCCAAAAAGCATTAGGATACATAGGGTACACCCACTGATGCACCATCTCGATCAACGGATGGGCCAAACCAAGCACAACTGGATGGGTCTCAAGTGTTCGGAGTTTGGCCGCTGATTCCGATTCCACCAGCATCCTGTCTGGGTGTATGGAGACCTATCAGTATACTGTGTCCATTGGGTGGCCCATTCGGACGCTGAGATGAGCCACGATGAGTCTTGTTAACAAGGGCAGATTGGTCCACCACTAGCTGCTAGCTAGCTGAATTGGCCAAGAATGATGCAAGATCGCTCGAAAGGGGGTTTGACATGGCCTATGTGGGGCTATGCTGGGATGCCCAACGAGCCGCTCGTTTTTGCGATCTAGCAGGTAGTAGGACACCCCCCCTCAGGTTGTGGTTTTGGTCCATTCCGTTTTGCGCCACTTGCCTGGGTAGCACCTCTACCCTCCTGCGTGGTTTTAAGACCTCCTCCTCCTCCTCCTAGCAGCGAGCTTTGGGAGATTGCTGGTGGTGGACTCCGGGCGGAGTCCAGGACTGGGTGAAAAAAGGAAGACTCCATGGGCCGTGGGTCAACTCACTGTGGCGGATTTGGGGTGAACGCTGCCAAAATGGATGGTGTTGGGGGTCTTGGTTTTGAACCAGACCCTGTCTTTGAGTACTAACACATTGAATATGTTCCAGACTGACCAAAGGAGACCCACAAGTAAACCACCGGAAGAACACGGACCTCATAAATTTGATGTGTACGGGTGTCTTCTTTCAGTGCATAAGACCGTCTCAAGTGGGCGAAAGGCATGGCATGGCATCCTCGCCCAGTAAGGCTCGCCCAGTCTCCGAGCCGCAAAGCGCAGTAGTCAGTGTGTTCCATTGGTTTCAACCCTCAAAAGCTGCAACCCTCCAAGCCTGAGTAGTAGGGATCACAGGATGTAGTAGGGATCTGAGCTTGAAGCTGGCTCCAGAATCCAGAATGGCCAGCAATATTTCTCAAGATGTAGGACATTGTAGGACACCCCGTCCACCACCCTGTCCTCACCCTTTTCGGTTCTTGGGTCCTCATCATCCTCCCAGAAGTTCTCGGGCAGCGCGCACAGCTGCCCTGCATCGTTGCCTTGGGAGAAGATCTCTTCTCCTTTGGCTTGACAGCGACATGTTGACCACGGAACATGAGCAGAATGGACTACGTGACAGCGACGGTCAACGATACCTATGGACGGCGGAACATCTTCGTCGGTTCCACATCTGTCGTCTCCGGGCACCTCAAGCACAGTCCACCAACAAACTCACCTCATTGAAAGAGCCCCAAACTGGACATGTAGACATGTACAAATCAGAAAGAGTCTACCATCCCCCCCCCCAAATCACCAATTGAGACCTAGAATGAGGGCCAACAACCTTCACTTCACGACCTTAGAGGGTGCTGGTATGTAATAGTCACTCGTCTTGATAGGTCTATTTCAAGCTGCTTTCAGCTGCTTTGTGTCACTTTTGGCCTGGTTCATCCCAACCCCAAAGCCGCGGTTCGCGGGCGAAGTTCCGCATCCGAAGGAGTCTGTTTGACACATATGGATTGCTTCCCTGGACAAGTGCCAGGTTCTGGGCACAACTCTGGACTCTGGTTCTGTTCCATACGCTTATCCAGTAGACTGAGCTGCTAGGAGTTCTCAAAACTCTATTGAAGACCTCTTGCCATCCATTTTCTGCTTTCGGTGTTCACCGGACCAACGGTGAACCAAAGGCCCCCCAAAAGCTTAAGCTTGGGTGCTCCAACAAAGGAACAAACTCACCAGCGATCAACACCACAAAACACCTCCGGCCCGGCGAAAAAACTTCAGTCTCAGCGAGCCACTGGAGGGTGGCATCTCTCGGGACTGCTCCGTGTGCTCGTCGGGCACCTGACAGTCGGACGGAAGGTGCCGGGCGTGGGAAGCGAAGGGAACCACCACGATGCGATAGGTATGCAGCGACCAAAGGATACCAAAGGGCATACGACCGACCACCAAAGGAATGGTGAACGCTGGAAGCTATGTGGAAAGCTTGTGATTTGCGCATGATATACACTAGACATCACTAGACACATACTGGAAAAATACAAAGCGCTTCAGAACATAAATATAATCTGACCTCCACCCCAAGGTGCTCCAGGGTGCTCTTCTCATCGCCCCTGTTTCGCGTCCAAACGAACCCAAACACCCCTGAATCCCCTGAATCTGACTTCGGTCGTCTGTTCTGATTTCACCTCGTCTTCGTGCTCGGGTGGGCCCCGAGAAGGGCCCCGCATGATCTTCAGCTGTAAGAAGTTTTCGGGCAACTCCTGGAGCGGGTCGTTCGGAGTCCGCGCCGGCGGCAGGACGAGAGTCCGGTCGGACAGAATCTACCAGCAATTGGTGTTCGAAGGTTCAAGCTTGAAAACAGAAGGTTTCAACCAATTAGTACTATCTAAGTCCTTCTATTTATCTAAGCTCTTCTATTAGTATGTGAGGAAGCTCTTCTATTACTTTAAGTACTTTGATCCCCGCGACCACCGGCGAGTCCAACCAGCACTGTTGTGACCGCTTTCCGGGTGCTGGCCCCCCCATGTTCACCTCCTGCGGAGCTACTATTGGACACCCCTGGCCCGGGGGCCCCGGTTGATTTCAACAAATCGGACACTCCTGCTACGAGCATGGTGTGTTGACTCTTTGAACCTTGGCCTTCTATCGTCGTGGTGGATGGTTTAGTGTTTGCTCCAGGCCCTGGATGGCCTGGGCTCTTCCCCGGATTCCACTGGTGTTGCTCAGGAATGTATCTAATATATATATATATATATCTCTCTATATATATATATATAATGTCATTCTCCAGCCAACTTGTCTTTCTCGCTCGATTTGAGGTTGCATGCCTTTGGCCGCAGGCAAAATGTATCGAGTGGCTACACCCCCAAACGGACCAACTGTGCTTCCTCATTCCAAAGCGTTGTAAGACAGGAAGATCCGTCCGCTGGTCACCACGCAAACCAACGCGTCACAGGATAGATGGGACCAATGCGTGGCAACATCGTGGGAAAGGCTGAAACAAACAAGAAAATCCCAATTGCCCAGACACTCCATGTATGCCCTCTATGCCGATCAGTTGGGGTGGTTTTGGGGGTCAATGTAGGCATATATGGCATACATGGAGTGTCTGGGATAGGCAATGGCAGGAGCTGGGATTGGGAGTGATTGTCTGATTCTGTGTATCCTAGCCAGAAAGAGTTCCACGCGAATTCGCTACCGCCAATCAAAGTGATGAACCCTCTTTGAGTTGATTCCCATCCCTAATTACCCTTAACCATCCAGGAAACATACCAAGCATGCAATGCCTCAAACGACGATCTTTAGCCTCTTGAACCGTCGGTTTATGTTGGAATTTGGCCCCACACTTTTGCGGCCCTGAAAATTGAAGCACATCTACAAGCACATGCTGCCCATGTCTTTTCCCTACAAAGGTCCCCCTAAAACCTCCAGGATATGAGACAACCGGCACTAGACATTTCCCAGAGTTTTCCACTGGTCCCAACTCTCTCTCCCTCTCTCTCTCTCTCTGCCTGTGCTCTCCCAAAAGAAAACACATCGGTCACTGAACCCCTCCAGCTTGCCCCCAAAAGTCTGCTCGTCTCCCAGCTCGGAACTGGCTGGACACGCTCGGACACGCGCTCCGCGCTTCGCGTTCATCGCGCGTACGCGGAGCATGCGAACTGCGCGCGCCCCGCACCTCAGGTTTATACGCCTGTGGTGTGGTCGGATTGCTCTTGAGGTCGGCGTTCTCCAAGCTGATGCGCCGGATCCGCCCCTGGATGGTTAGCTGTGGATTCGATTCGGATGGTGACACGGTCGGTGCAGGTGAAGGACGTGCGTGCGGGTTTTAGCTTGGTCGGTGCAAGTGAAATAAGGTGCGCGTCTAACGATTGAAGAAGGTGACTGATTTAAGGAACTCACAAGTCACAAGCTGATCTGTTCTTGGGGGAGTCCCCTGGCACCTCGAAGTGATGTGTAAGGAGTTCGGGTCCTGTTGCGGGTCGGGATCCAAAATGGCTCCACCACGTACAGGCTCCGTCCATGTGTTCCTCCTGTTGCCCTGGTGGCTTCGCAGCTTTGGTGGCGCTATGACTCCAGGGATCACCCTTGTCACGTCCGAAAAGTCCCCACCAAGCAAGGTTCGATCGGAGCCTGTAAGCGCTGCACTTCATCGTTCAAGGTTTGGATCTGCACCTGGAAGCGCTTCACTTGTTTGCTCCACCGAACTGGGGTCCTTTCCTGGTTTTGGAGCACCAAATGGAAGCTGCTACATCACATATATTTGTATAACTACTGTATAATATATATATATAATATTCAGTATATATATTATATATGTATACTTGCAAACATATACTTAGACTGTATATATATATATAAGGGGGGCCTCCTTGTATGATATGGCCTAGTGTTGTTGACAGTAAACTCAACCATTGTAGGTTTAAACAGTGAAAACAAGAACATGTTTGAGGAATACCAAACCACAAAACAAATCCTTCACCGTCCCAGGCTTTCTGAAAATACTTAGCTAAAGGTTTAATTGTTTGAGTTGTTTTAGTTGTTTAGAAAGTCTTACCAGAAAACCAGGGAAGGTGAGGGATGTTTCTTTGTGTCTCCTCTTGTGTATTCCGCTAAGATATAAAGACTAAAACAACAAAACTAAACTAAACTAAACTAAACTAAATCTGTATTTGTATAGTTCTTCGTAGCTAGAACTTCTTCAACACCAGAACGCCTGGACAACTGAAGGGCGGGCTGTTCTTGTGCTTTTTGCAGAAGACTGAATAAACACAGTACACAAAACTCCTCAACTTCCCTCGTGTCCTGGCGAACAAAAACACAAAAATGATCAATGATTATTGGTTTTCACCGTCAATAAAGAGCAGGTAGATCAGGTAGTCCATACTGCTTCCATCCCGTGCAACTCAAGTGTTCCTCGTTTTCATTAGGCCGTCCTATTCCTCCTTGCGTATACGACTTTCCTTGAGTAGAGAAATGGACTCAAGGATGCCATTACTCTCACTCACAACTCCTCTTCCTTAAAGGGACAAAGGATTTTACCTGCATTGCCGCCTCCTCACCGTTCCCTGTTCCGAAGATTCTACTGCCCTTCCTCATTGCCACCCCCTTTGTAAGAATGAGACATCACGAATTACGACTTCCCTACCATACGCTTTCCGAGTCATAGAAGACGAGGACCGAGGATATCGCTATAGTGGAACTACTGTGCCTTCCTCCAAACTATTTCGATTGGTCCCCCAGTTGGACCATGATGGAAGCAACTGGATGCCTCGTTTTTGTGCTGAAAGAAAGGCAACAATAGTGCCAAATATGGTACAGTTACACTACTCTTCCTCCCTCAGTTGAAGGCAAGCGCCACAGAATGCTACTAATGCTACTGTATATGTCGCACCGCTGTCCTACCCTGGTCCTACTCTACTGAACTGCACTGCCCAAATTACACAACACTACTGTACTTGTCTGCATGCTACCCCAAAATTGATAGGGTGTTGTCAATATTGTACATCATGAGCTGCTCAAGTATATAGTGTATAATCTGTTTACATACATGAAGCCGCTGGCCGCGACAGTGTCCCCCACCGGAATCCATCCGAAAATTCCTCCAGAGTTCACATCAGGAAGTTCATTCCCCAAAGAAGCCACAACCAGCAACACCACATCAACAGCGCCATTGTGAACACTCACCATGCCCCGTAATTACCGCGCATCGAAAAAAACGCACCCCTCCTCCCACAGTTGTTCACATCTTTGCCGCACATGTCGCGCGAAAACACGAAGCGAACAACAAATACTTTACTTCAAGTGGTCCCCAACCATAACATTCTATAAAATCTAACAACCCTCACCTGACAGGTGGGAAAAACAATACACCAAACAAACGGCCTCCTGCTTCTTAAAGAGCTCGGACAAACGTCCCAAGAGTTCCATCGCAGGATCTTCCCTCCTGTGATGGGTCGACGGCTGGTGGCGTTTTGGTCCAGATTCCATGTCGATGGTCGGAGGAATTCCATCTCAAACCCAAACACACTCCATGTATGGCATATATACCTACATTCAGGTGGTTTGGGGGGTCAATGTAGGCATATATGGCATACATGGAGTGTTTGGGAAGGCATGTTCTCCTTCGAACATGCCTTACTCTGGTCGTTTTGGTCCACTCGGGTGTGGATCTAAAAGTGGACAAGGCAAGGCTTTCAACATAGGGTAGCAGGTGAGCTGTTCCCGTTTTTGAGGGCCCGTTCTGTTCCAACAAGTGCGCACATATACACCCTAGGGATCCAAGTACCTTCTCAGAAGGTGATTGGAGACACTCTTATGTAGGTTTTGAGGGTCCAAGTACCTTCTGAGAAGGTACTTGGATCCCTAGGGACAGTATACACTCCAAAAACTTGCAATATCAATATCCTGACGACGGATGCTGCTTGAAGAACAAACGTATGACAACCACTTTTTTCCGCTGAACCAAAGGCTTCTTCCATGCTAGTCTGCGAGAATGGAGGAATACCTGGTTCTCTGACCCACGCTTGAAGCCCCTCGCGTCATGAAGCCAATATGAAGCTTATCGGCGCTAGTTTCGATTCAACACCTCGAGCGGTGTTAGGTCGAACTCGTTGGTCGACGCCTGACGTCTGTCCCAACGCCTTCGGCCACTCCGCCAAGTGGCTCGCTGAGCAAATCATCCAAGGCTAAGGACTCCTTACGATAGATGCCTCATATCGCGGCATCTATCGAGAGGTGGGCGAGGACACGCGGGCGTGGACGCGGGTTGGAGGGGAGACGGGGGGGCGGAACGGGCGGTCAAACCGCGAGTGGCGGGGACGGACATGGACGGACGGTGGGGTCCCAAAAGAACCAGATCATACTCCCCGAAACAAACAGGATGGAAAATGGAAAAGCACCTGAGCCTCTGATGGAAACTGATCATCCAAAAAGCCCTTCCATCCACTTCGATTCTCAGGGAGCGGTCCCGCCGAACCGGTGCGAGTTCCGGGGACGCCGCCCTTCGGGGTCGGGTCCGTGTCTCCCGATTTCGGCGAGTGGTTGGAGAGGTAGGGGGAACAAAAAGAACCATGGCTCCTTGATGCTAGTTAGTTGGGTTTCCTTCCGAACGGGACGGGTACGTGGGTGAACGGTTTCAGAAAAAAAGAACACCCCTACCGTCATCAGGAGTCCCCTTCTCCAAGCATGACATTGGAATGACGAGTCCCCCAGCCCCCCCAAAAAAGTACACTCACACATACACACACCACACACACGTTTTGTCTATGATGCCAGAGAGTCGACACATCAACACGTTCCTGGACCATCTCTACTGGAGGCGTCTACTGGAAGCCTGTCAAACAACTTCAGTGCATAGAAGTGACCCAAAAGGGATGACCCTTGTTGGTTCGAAAGAAAAAAACGAGTATATATACACACCCGACACAAGTATCATCACCTCGAAGTGGATGGGATCCCCTGTTTGTACTGGAAAAAACATCTTCTAAGGGACCATGCCATCCACTTCCATGTTGGTTCATCAGAGTGTACAGTGGGTTCAGAGGCTTCAGAGTAGATGGCACAAACAATAAGATGTCTTGGGCATATCCGATTGCCAGTAACAGTGGATGATGATGGTTAGGTTGCAGGACTGGTGGCAGGGTTATAGTCTAAGTTATAGTTCTTTACCGACTGTTACAGGTAATGGGACAAATGTCTTGGTCTATATAGAAGTCCAAATATGTCCAAATAAACCACCTTTTGGATTCTTTTGGGGACTGTGCCATCTATTCTCAAAGCGACTGTAGGCCTTTGTTTCTGCACTTTGGCCCACCCGTTTCAAAAACTCGCGCCCTCGAACATCAACGGACTCCACTCAACTATTCGCAAGCGCAATCGGTCCAGGGGGGGAAAGCTGAAGCTAAAATCGCTTGGCCGACCTCCAAACAAAAGAAACACAAGCACAAAAGAAACTCCGTGCCAGGATGTTTGTTCCATCGCAGAAAGGTGTTTTCACTTGACCCAACTGGTGAAATTCGTTAGCATCATGCTTGCTGAGCTGCCCTTTCCACAGCGTTCAGCCTCAATTTATGCGATCTGGATCTCCCAAGTCCAAATTAAACATCAAACTTGGAAGGAAAACATCTTGCCATCCAGGATGCTCGTGTTCTTCTGCGAATCCTCGTTGGTGAGAATCGTCAAGTTCGCCGAGGGCTGGTGCATCAACGTGGGCTGCATACCGGCCGAAGCGGACCGTGCACCGGACGGCGTGGACTTTCACGCGGTCCGGGCGCACGATGCACAGCTTCCGGGCGCGGCGCCGGCGAAAACGGCCGGTTTTCTTGTTTTCTTGAAAGGTCGGTGGAAAAGGGTGGTTAAAGTCTATAGTGGTAGGTCAATGGTGATTGCGGTGAAGTACAGAAGCTTTTCAGGGACCTTTTGATGAGGTTTTCCAGTGTTGCATCTCACCACGCGTTGCATCCCAGTCTGAGGACCCTTGCTGCGGGCGGAACGGGCGGTGGTTCAACTGCGGAATGGGACCCGGTGGCTCAAACAAAGCCCAAATGGAACCCGGTAGTGACCGCTTTCCACTTAATGTAGACTCTGAAATGTTGTTCAACCCCCCATAGGGAAAGGGTTTTACTGCAAATGAGGAGGTTTTTGTTATTTTCATTGATGTTTATGAACGTATATGAATGTCTATTGTACAATCAAGAGTCTATGTATTATACATTTCCCAGGGGGCGGGCCCAGCTGACACCATCTGGAGAAAAAATGTGTTGCCTGTGTTGGAATTCACAGGTGAACCTGTCCGTCTCTTGCTAGCACAACCTTGTGATACCCTACGGCTCCAACTACCTGAGAAGATGGTTGGGGTAGGTTAGGGGGGCCCAGCTGGTTGGAGCACTGGTTGGAGCTCGATGGATCATTTCGCATACCTCGTGACACAACAAAATCATCACAATACCCAAACACTCCATGTATGCCATATATGCCAACATTGGGGTGGTTGGGGGGTCAACGTAGCCATATATGGCAGTCCCATTAGTCGTGTCTGGGAGAAGCACCCATGAGTCTAAAACTCTTGGGGAACCCGGTCACAACTTCCGGAACGACCCCCGTCCGCTTCCGCCGCGGAGAAGGCGCCGGGCAGACCATCCCAAGGTGGCAAAGGACCACAAGGCGCTGGTCAAGTGTCGTGTTTGGAAGCCTGGCGCCTCGCGCTCCCCGGACCCCGGGACCGGACAATGGACTGGGTCAAGACACACACACACAAGGTGGAGACTGAGGAAAAGAAGATCAAAGAAGAGATGGACAAGTCTTAGATCCAGCCCAGGTTGTCTTCGATTATCAATTTGTGAATGATTCTTTGCGGACAGGTCGTGTAATCAACACAAGATCTGTGATCTGAAATGACCCAGCAACAGCTCAAAATGTAGTTGTCAAACCCAAACAGCAAAGTACTGCTACCACTGCCAACAACATCAAAACACAGACTACTACTACTACTACTCCTACTTACTCCCACTACTCCTACTGCTACTGCTACCGCTACTCCTTCTAACTTCTACTTCTACCTTCTACTTCTGCTGCTACTTTTTCAATTGCTCTTTATAGTTGCTGCTGTCGCTGCAACATTTTCGCCATTGCACCTTTGATCCAACTGGAAATCACAGCCGAACCTTTCGCGATCTCCTGAATCTAGTCCAACACTGTCCATGAAACGGTTCTGGTGTTTTGTGGGGGGTAAGGGAAAAAAAGAATCTACAAAAATAAATAGATATTCAACGGGGATCAAAAAACAAAAAACAAAAAGGAAATCAACAACATATTCTAGCCCACTGAGGATGGTTGGGGTAGTAGTAGTAGCAGTAGCAGTAGCAGGATTAGGAGACCAAGGGAAGAGGATGGAAGGAGCAGGGGACTAGGAAAGTGTACCTCCCTAGGAGCTCCTTCCTAGTAGGGAGCATTTTCTACTGGTGAACCATTTTTCGAGTAGGGCTACTCAATGACTGGACGGCTACCATCATTGGGTACCTACTTTCGTCCCAGGGAGCTGCCTCTAGTAGAAAGCAATCAAGCCTCGATTTGGGCAAGCAGGGGACCAGGAGACCGAAAGACGAGCGGAGTAGGAGAGCAAGAGACCAGCGGACCAGGAGACAGAAGGACCAGGATATCAGGGGACCAGCAAACCACAGGACCAGAGGACCAGGAGACCGGAGGACTAGGGGACCAGTGGACCAAAGGACCAGTGGACCAAGGGACCAAAGGACCTTATTACCAGAGGACCCGCAGACCACAGGGCCAGGAGAGCAGCAGAAGAGGCCTATCAAGGAATATTGTTTTGTTGATTCGCTTTTTATTTTATGTTGATCCTCTTTTTATGATTTGTTCATGCTCGTTTTATTCTTTTTTGGTACCTATGCCTTTTGTATCGGGCTCTACGAGGCTCTACTCTGCACCTGCAGGTTGCGATCCAAATGCTCCAAGGTCTGATGCCAAAGATCATCTTGGAAGAGCCTCACATTCTGTCGGCCGGGGTCTTGGAAGGTCATGCCCAGACACTCCATGTATGCCATATATGATATGCCTACATTGACCCCCCAAACCACCCCAACGTAGGCATATATGGCATACATGGAGTGTCTGGGATGAATGTAGACTCCCAAACACTTGGACCCTGACAATGCCAAATGGCCTTCCTCTACCAACCAGTGATTTCCAGGGTCCATGGGATCGTCTTCCAGGGTGTAGGTTCTGAGATATGTTCTGATCCAGAACATGTAGACACCCCGCCGCAGGGGTGTCTAAAGTGGAATGTCTGGCAAGTAGCTTGGGGGCCTGGTCTGACCCCCCCCCCCCAAAAAAAAACAAGAAACAACAAGATCAATCAGCTGACAGGCCAAACCAAGGTGGCAGCTTCAGTGTCTGCTAGACTGGGGAAAAAAGGCACGTGGTGCATGGCGCGTGTGTACATACAGGGCAAAGACACAGATCATCAAAACGCTGACACCCCTTTTTATCGATGCTCGCCACTAGCCGCAAAACCTCACGGCAGCTGTTCTCTGGCATGAACTCGCAAATTCTCAGCTGTTCCCCAGCATCTACATAGCTAGTGTTGAAAAACCCGTAGTCCCAGCCTGGCAAAGGAAGCTCGTCTTCCAAACCTATTGACAACAGAATGCCAAAGCTATACCAGGACCCCCCTAAGGGCTGTCCAATTACAGCTCCTTAGAGGTTTTCCGGGGTATCGATTAACCACCCCAAGGCCCTGGGGGCCCTGGTATGTTTGTCGTGGAGGACCATGCCTTTCCAAACGCATCGGGTGCCTACCCTCCAAGACCTCGCCTGGCATCGGGTGCCTCCCTGTGCCACTTGGCCAAGCGATGCCTCGGTGGCACAGTCCATGCGGTCCGTCGCCCGAGCGAGCGATGTGTGAATTCATGTACGTTCCGAATCAGTGTCAACAAGGGACTCCCTGACCTCCCAGTTACAAGCTCCCAGTTCAAGAGGACATCTGTGTTTTTTTCTCCATTGCTTGGTGTTCTCCCTCAACTCATGCCATTTGGCACGGTGTGGATCGCTCATTCCTCCTTGGGCACAGCTGGTCTTAGTCTTGCAGGTAGTGGGGGGCCAACACCCCAACACACCATCTCTAAGCTTGACACTGCCCTCTGAACACCAGGTCCGGTCAACAGGTCGAACGACCCTCGGTCAACGGTCGGTCCAACGGTCCGGGCAAAGCAGTGGCCGTGTTGGTGCCGTCGAACTCCGCACCGTAGGTCTTCACAAGGGCCAGCACCTGACGGAGGGCCAGGTGGAGGGGGGAGTGTTCCACTTGAAGCAAACACGTGACGTGCATGTCTGTCCAGGTCCACCATATAAAATGTCCTATATAGACAAGTGGGGGTCCAGGGTCGAGGAAGAGCCATCTACCAGCACTCCTATTTGGGATCTTAGGGGTGTCTAACTAGTCATGACCCCTTAAATAGAGGTTTTCAGCAGTGTCTAAGACATACCCTGGGTCCGACCGATGGGCTAGAATCTGCTTTACTAAGGGAATCAAACATTACAGGTCACCAGATCCTTCCCATGTCACAAATAGTCTATAACAAACGTCCCGGGCTCTGTAGAACTCGTACCTATCCCAAACACGACCTGTCTGGGACTGCCATATATGCCGCCCCATTGACCCCACAAAACCATCCCAACTGATCGGCATATATGGCAGTCCCAGACAGGTCGTGTCTGGGGTGGCAGCATGTCACCAGGCCCTGCCTCCGGCACCGAGCGCGTCTGCGCGATCCAGTCGTTCAGCGTGCGGGACGGCCGGTCGGGCCGGGCCTCGTGGCGCAAACGGAAACGCGAACGGAACGGTTGGCCTGGAAGGAACATGTCGAACATCAAAAAGCGGGGTGAACTGTCACCTTCCTGAGCTGTTTCTTTTTTTTGTCAGGTACTCCTTTTCTGTGTGTATGTCGGATTTTTCTAGGCAGCAAGTATGAGCAGTGGACAGTGGAAGGACAAATGCTACGCAAGTTGATGTCCTTTTCCAGGCAGCATGGATTGAGATGAGCACACCCTGTGTCAAACACCACTGGTGTCATCAATCTGACTCCATTTCAGTGGGCCATTTCATGTCAATTGGTGGCAAAGGTTCACTTAGTCCTGTGAAGACTTCAACCATTTACTACACTGAGCACCGATTCGTGCATGGAAAAAGCTCTCTTTTCAGAGCGCCCCAGGGCAAGTCTTGCCGTACAAATCGAGTTGATGTTGGGATAGCATCAAGCAAACCCCTAAACAAGCCTTGCATTCATTCAGTCCAAAAGCTCGAGCACCTGATTTGATATAACTTATTCACATTATATCACATCTACCACCAGAAACCACATGAAACCACCCCAATGTATACCGCTGGGGCCGACGGGCATGGTAAGGCAATTTGGAAGACACGATCCTGGAGTCGCATGAGGCAATTCTTCTGCCATTCGATTGAATGCGGATGGCCCCCTTTTTTTTGCGCCTAACGTTTATTGCTAAAAAAAGCTCCCAAGTGAGTGCAGTCTTCGAAGAAATGAACTTGTCAAGCTAAACAACAGTTACTATGATATACACTATGCACAGCATATCTTACGACGTTCCAGTTGCAGGTCTAATATGGTCTAATTATCTTCCTTTCAGCCCTGGAGCTTTCAGCCTTGGGCAAAACTCAACAAAACCACCAACTGACACATCTGAACAGTTCAAACCATAACATGACACGCATAACATCATTGCTCCCGCTTGCTTTAACGGCCAGCCGGTTCTTTTGAGCCCGAGCAAACTTTGCTGAC